TAGATAATTACATTTTCCTTCTTAAAAAATGCTTGTGCCCTCCTGTTTGCCATCCTGCATGTACACAATTACAGACATAGGGAATAAAGTTAGAAACACACAGCCTCTTCAGAAGTGAGGGTTTTAAGAATAGATCTTGGTTCTTAAATCTGTGCTTTCTCAGTTCATGAGTAGTGGGAACTCCCTTAGGTAAAATTTTATAAAATAAGCATTGACTGTAACTGTCTTTTCCTTTTTTAGTTTCTATTTGTTGAAGAGCTGCTGTGGTATCTGTTTAAAGACACATGCTGTAACAGTCATGTTTAATGCTGAAATGCATTGTCATCGTGCTTTGTGGTTTTCCAGTGATAGGTTATGGTTGTGCATTTGTTTTTTGGGTTTTTTACACGAGTGGAGACGCCTTCAGCTCACAAGCTTTGCATGTAACACGTTGTACCTTTAGTAAAGGCACTTTTGGAGTGCTGATCTCTCTCTGTTGGGGGTTTTTTACCTGTGTTCCATATTCTTGGGTGAGCCATCAGGAGGTGGACCTCGTGTGTTGCAAGACAGGTTGGAGAGGTGCTGGTGGTGCTCAGGAGGAGCTCTGGGGGTGGCTACTCTCAGATTTAAGTGCTAGGAAAATGTTCACCTGGTTAGAGCTGCCAGGAGCACTCCAAATCATCAGCGAGTGACAGCACAGGACATCTCTGACATCTCTCATCTTGCACCAAGTCCAGCTGTTCTGGGAGAGGCCACTGCCATGGCCACAGCTCTGTGGGACTAACTATCAGCTCTGTGGGACTAACTATCTCCATTTGGCCAGGTTTTTATTGTCTCAAATTCTTTTTATTCCAAGAAACCCTTGGTATGGCTGCTGCACTGAATTCTTTACCCTTCTCACCCAAGAATTGTGACCCTTGCTGGCCCTGGAATGGAAGGAGGGTAGCAGAGGAGGAAGAGGCGAGGCTGATATTGCTCAAAACTCTCCATTATTTATGGAGGTACCCAGATTATTAGGATTTTGAACTTGGGGGATACACAGGCATCCTCCACTGGTGTGATTTTTCTTTTTTCCCCTGATAGTTAAGGACATGGCAGATACTTTGTGCTCTCTTCCTCATCCAACCCCCTGTGCAGAGGCTGGGGAATAGAAATAGTTGGCTGTTTTCCTTCTGTGTCTTGAATGATATTTTTAGAAGGATGTAGCATCAAGTGAGATAAACCAGCAATACATTTATAAAGGGATTTCTGGAGGACTAAGAGGCTACTGAGTGGGGATGTACTGGAATGAAACTGGTACATAACAGAGTTTAGCATTTCAGTGAAAAGAGCAGAACATCATCACTGTTCTCGGGGAAAGTGTTCTCTTAGAGCTAAATGAATTATTTTGAATAATCAAGAGAAACTGATAATTAGGAACAAAAAGCTGAGACCTAGACTAGTAGCAATGGAGTGTACCTCATGGAAGCAAAATGAGGTAGACTGATTTCTTTTACACCTCTGAAGAAAACCTGGCAAATACTATGCACCAGCAATCAAGCAAAAACCACATCAGTTGTCAGGTGCAGAGGGAGAAAAATCCTTTCCTTCATTTATTCTTGCTGAAATAAGGAGGTGGCTCATGAGTTTGGTTCAAGACTTCTAGTTTTCTGTTGCTATAATAAAATTTAGTTCTTGCTTCTAATGAAATTGGCAGCCAACTTCCTCATAGAAAACACATTATCCCACAAATGAACATGGGATTAACCCACTGATAAGTAACACCAAGGTATTTCATTGGCCTTTCCTGCCATTTGCTGAGTATGGATCAGAAGACCTGACAAAAAGAAAGGTATTTTTCTGGTAACAATCACTTCCACTCAAGTTACAGCAACTCAGAGAGGCAGTATACCTGCTTTCCTAGCAGCAAGCTCTTTTTAAAAGACACATACAAGTTCCCCCACAATGCTGGCAGTTCTAGCTGAATTAGTTAACATCCTGCCCATATTTTTCCATATCCTTGTTCCTGTGCCAGTGAGAGACGTTTCTACATTTCACATTTAAATATTCCTTTGCTGTAGTCACAGCCTTGTCTGTCTGACCTGTTTTACTTGATGCCTAAATGTCAGCTGAAGCTGTTTGTAAGGGATCCAAATAAAAAGTGTAAAAAAATAAAAGCTGCTCATGTTATACAAGATTTTCCTTGTCTAGTGACCAGCATCTTTGGCAAGGATGAAGAGATATTAAATCAAATTTAGAGAGCTTTTTATCATCTCAAATTCTCTTTATTCCAAGGGATTTGTATGGCTGCTGCACTGAATTCTTTATATAATTGTTCCTAAATCATAATTGCCATATCTGAATTTAGCCTTTTGTGCTGTAGAATTTATCTGTAAAGTGGACTAACACAAAAAGTGTCATTTCCACCATTGTAACAAAATCTACTATTCCATTTGATTTAGATATATCTATCATTGCTAGTGTTGCAAAGTACCTGTGTTTCTTAAAAAGAAAAACTGTCATCAATGTTTATTGCAACTCA